CCCCACGTGGCCACGGCCCTTCTGCACGGCCCCAGCCCACACATCCACCTGGGCTTTGCCTTTGCTGAGAAACACACCACCAGCCCCGTGTGGGAAGCACCTTTCCAGGCTGACACCTTGCACAGGGGTCACTCCCACCGAGAGAGAGGACACGAGTGTGAGGGACAACCCAGAAAGCAATCCCCCTGGAAACCAACCCCCCTTGGGCAGGTGAAGGCACATAGTGCACTGGCCAGGAAGCCTCCAGACACTCTGTGGAGCTAAAGGAAGCTCAGCTCGTGCTCCGTGTCCCAGAGCATGTTACAGCTGTCTCTGCACGCAGGGAGAGAAGAAATTAACTTGCAGAACTGGAAACCATTTGTCATCGTGAAGCGACAGCTCAGCTGTCACTGTGCCTCCAAACAGGGCACTAACTGCTGCCTTGTGGTCAGAAAAGCCCAGCAAAGGGCTGCCAAGCAAAGGAGAAATGAAGCAGAACCACATCTCAGGGGGCAACGCAGTGCCAGTTTTGGGGTCCCTCAGTCACCCCTCGCTGTGGCACCTGGGTGGTGGGTTGTTTTGCAGCAGTTCTGCAGCACAGGCTCTGAGAAAACACCTTAATGGCTTGGGAAGGAGCAGCCTCAGCTCTGACTTTCCCCACGCTGTGGTCCCACCGAGAGCGAATGCAGCCGTCACCCCAGCCCCTTATTTCCTGCCAGCCCTGGAGGGTGTGCTCCCTGCCTTGAGAGCCACCCTCAGCACTGGCAACGCTGGGTTCTCCTGAGTGCAGAGCGTCCCTGGGGTTGCAAAACATGTCAGAATAACAGCACAGGTTGTGAAAGAGCCTTTTCCTGCTGGAACCAGCCTCTCCTTGCAAAGCTCATCTAACGCTGCCCTGCCACAGCAACGTCACCTCAAGGTGACACACGGGACCGTGCAACACCCCCGCTGGCAGCAATGGAGCAAACAAACATGTGCTGAGCACAGCTTGGCCCTGTCCAGGCAGGTGAGGAACTGCAGCACCACAGGGCCAGCCCAGGGGTGAGCTGTGCTGCTCGGGCTCTTTCTTACCTTCCCCAGCTGATGGGGCCCATCCACGGTTTTCCCATCGTCATCTGGACCCCAGCTGCAAAGAGAGACGCCGTGAAGTGAGCGGCCCAGGAGCTGCAGACAGAGTTCTCCCACTGACATTTGCCATCACAAAGCAGCCACCAGCTACTCCCAGCACCAGGAGTGGGATCAGAGGGTGCTCTGCGTTCCCACCCATCAGGTTGGCCCCTGGCTGCTGGGATATCGCTGTCATGTTTACGTTGTGCCCCCGGGGCAGATTCCAGTGGACAAAATGTTTGACTTTTATTGAACAACCAACTTCTCACACATTCCAGTCCCCGTCACACGGCTCAGCCAGGGCTCCCTGACCACAGGAGGAGAGGAGCTGGTGTGAGCACTCAGCCAGGGGCTGTGACCTCCTCCCCTGGCCCGGCTCAGGGTCCCCTGGGGACTCACCTGCAGCTGTAGATGTCGTTGATCTGATAGTGCTTGTTGAAGGCGATGGCCTCCATGCTGTCAGTGAGGGGCCCGTCCAGCACCCTGATGCCTGCAGGACAAGGGACAACAAACGTGACCACAGTGGATCAAAGGAGGCTGAACAAACAGTGCAAAGAAGTTCCTGGGCAGATTCACACTGGGACCACTCACTCTCCCAGCCTGATGGAACCAGCTCTCCCAGAGCTGTAACCCCACGGATCAGTCCGCAGGGGTGAGGTGTGTGTGAGGGATCGTAGCTGCACCCTCCCACGCAGCTCCACGTCCTCTGCTGCACTCAGCTTTTCTGCCAAAGCAAGTCCTCCAGTCCCACTGCCAGAACCACGCTGGTGATGGTGACAGAACAACTGACCACCAGCTGGGCTCCCTCCTGTGAGCCCCTGAGCCCCCCTACCCACAGCGCTGCTCCCCGGGGGCTTCTCCACATTCCACCCTCTGTTATCCCGCTGCTTTTCAGGGCTAGTCCCTGCCTGGAGCAATTGCTTCCCCTTCCACAGCCCAGCATCGCTTTGGGATGGACTGCTGGGGTATTGCCTGCTGAGGGAAGGGCTCAAGAGACCCAGGACATGCCAGTGACTGTGCTCAGACCAGGAGGGCGAGGCCACCTCTCCAACAAAACCAGTGAGGGGCTCAGTGCTGAGTTTTCGGTGACCCAAACCATTGAAAATTAACTTTTTGCATCACAGTTTAGGCTGGCAAAGGATGTTCCAAATGGAAACCAGGCACACGGCTCACAAAGGATGTTTCAAATGGAAACCAGGCACACAGCTCATTTAAGCCTATTTATAACCAGTGCAACCACCCACCCATCCCAGCTCTCCCCTGACACAGCACAGGCGGCGTTTCACTGCCGCATCCCAGCTGCCCCCGTGGAGCCCAGCGAGGCTGGCACTGTGCTGCCTCCAGCACCTCCACGCTGACAGGGGGGGTCCCTGTCCCCTGCAGAGCTCGAGGCTGCCCCGCCGCACTCACCCTGCAGGGC